GGGCATTTTGTGTCGCTTGTTCCGTATACCCACCGTCGCTAACCGCTCGGCGATTACCGCTCCACCGTTGTGGAGCGGCAACCGCCGAGCGGTTAGCGCCTTCCGCCGCCACGTGGGAGGCCCGGGCCCGAACCCTGGGCACACCCGAGCCCCTGAGCGCTTACATGGCCACCGCAGGCTCTGGCGCTCCATAAAGAGATGTGGGGTGATGTGCGCCGTGTTTTCCTAAAAAAGCACCGTCGCATATGGGTAACTCCTGTGCATGTGCACCCACAAACGATAGCTCATATTATTGTCCCCAATAGACCTGGAGAACAGAGAGCTAGCAAACTGGGCCGTGTAGTTCGCCCTTCAATTGCAAACTTGATTTAAAATAGTTGTCTTGTATGCGCTTTTTGGTTAAGTACAGAGATTTTGGTTGCTTACTCTACCATTTAGCGCCAATGCGGCCCGCGGTGCGCCGAAACGCGAAGATCATGTGACCTTCGCCGGGGATCTGCCTATGGGTATGAGCATGACGTCTGGACTTTAGTTGGATGGATGTGTCAATTTATGGAAGTTCAGTATATCGTTTGGTTTGTCAAGACCGACATCTAGCCTGCGAACTTGATGTCGATCGCAGGTAGCCCCGAATGGCCTGTCATTGCTGTGAAGCCCGTTTGACCTCTGGATGTTTCAGCATGTGATGTGCCAGTCCGTAATCATTCCTAGTCCACCTCGCGGCCACCTGAGAGATTAAAAAGAACACTCTCCGAGTTTCTGGAATATCTTCTGAACCTCATCGGACGCCTCCACGAGATTTTCAGCTCTAGTCAGGACTATCAACGTGAGACATGCTGGTAAACATAAAAATATAGTTTTGTTGCCAAGTTAGGCCATGTACCTACGACGGGGTCACCATAAGTTTGCATGGCCGTTCGCGCTGCTGTGCACAGCAACGCGAGCTCCTACGGATAGCAACGCGTGCTCTACAGACAGCAGCGCGTATTGCTGTGGACGGCACCTCATCTCATCACAGGTCAACGTGAATCGAAACGACAGATAATGCACATTACATAGAACTGACTCGAAACACCTAATCTGGCTCGACCTTGAGCTTTGGCCTTTGCTAGCAATACGATGTATTCGTTTGGCGGCAGTTGCAATGTTCTGCGAACATTATCACGGATGACCATTACTATGGGTCACCACTATTGCGGATGAGAGAGTAACCGTTGCTCACTCATTCCGCAAGACCAAGGGTGTGCAGCGTAATGCTAAAGAAGGCTATGGAATCACTTCAGACCGCTTCGCTCCGTTCCTTGAAAACTAGTCATAGTTGAGTTTGGCTTGAGCCAGCACCACTACACGTGTACGAAATGCTATTCTTATGAAAAGCGTTATTTGATTTTGTTCGCCCAGGCATGTCCGTCAGCCAGTATGACATGGTGCAACAGCGCCGAGCAATAGATGTAGGTCACGCGAGAGGCCGCCTCGCAGGGTTCCTTTTCCCGTCCACCGATCAGATGTGGATACGACAAGGGCCGCGGAAGGAGCGTAACGTCACGTGCTGTCGAAGGTGTCAGAACACGTGATGCTGGCGAAGGTTAAATGGTCCATCAAAGGCTCATGCCTGAGGTATACGCGGAGAACGCTTCGATATGCTCTCATGAGGTACGTGGCTTTTTGCCGTAAGTTGTTTTTACTTTCCGTTGCAACAATTCAAATGTCGTGGAATTAAAAGGAGCGTTCCACGTTTGAAGGGTATTGAGGCAAGCATCGGATATTAGTGAAGTAAGCATACTTATAATTATGGGTACGCTTTGATGTGGAAAGAGACGGCTTCTAGAGCGCACAGCTTATTTGTTTTGTAAGTATGCTCCTCAATACATGATTGCTTGATTGCATTATCGTACCTTACAAAACACTGAGAGCCAATTGACAGCCTTTGTATCCGGAAGTACGGGTTCACGAACGCCAGATCACGAACGACTGGACAATCGTGTCTTCATTGGCCTTGACGCCCCGTGCCGAATGGGATGGTGGGACTTGGGTAATGTTATTATGGTGTCATGGATACCTGGGTGAGCCGTGAAATTATCTGCGCGAAGTAGTCCGCACATCTTTGCGGGCATGTAAACCAGAAACCAGAGGAGTTTAGTTCTTAAGAAGGGCAGGGCTGTAAAATGCACCGAATGATCTTTTAAGATACCTATTTCAGTTCAAAACCCCATATAAATGTGACACACTTCCTTCAACGCGGGACCAAAAGCAAACGAAACTAACCTCATGGCACTTCTACCATTGTGCAGAAGCTCATAGCATCACGGCTGAACAAAAAACTACGTTTTTACTGTACTGTGCCGGGCATATGATCTGAGCATCGCTTCCAGCGACGCTGTGCACCGATGAGGTCCGTGACGTGGTGCGGTCGTACTGTGCCGGGCATATGAACTGAGCATCGCTTGCAATGACGCTGTGCACCGGTGAGGTCCGTGACGTGGTGCGGTCGCACTTCCAAACATAGCCTTTTAGCGGCCAAATCAGGGCCGCGGGGAACGTCTATGTCCGTCCTTTAAATGCCAAGGTATGTGAGAACACCATGAAGGCAAAGTCTGCTCCTCAAATCCCACTGGTGCTATTAACAGCAAATAGACCTGCGTTGGTCTTTTCGGAATAAATAACTGCACAGTCGTGCCCACTGATATCAATTATCGGATTTTGGCGTCCCTAAGTTTGCCCCTAAGCACGATCAATTTGCTTATCCTAAGGTTTATATTTTTCCTTTGAACACAGTAAGTTCATCAGCAAGCACGCATACACACACACACACACACACACACACACACACACACACACACACACACACACACACACACACACACACACACACACACACACACACACACACACACACGCGCGCGCGCGCGCGCGCGCGCGGGAGCATGCATGTATATAAAAATACCCGTAAAAACCCGTAGTTTAAGTAGGGATAAAACTTTCAATTGTCATGCTGACTCTGTAACCGCCAAATGCTTCGGTATTTTACTTACATTGGCCCGTGATCGGCACGGATTCCCCAGCCCGTGCTCACGTTTATTTCGACGTTGCTCGCCGCTTCTGTGCCCCGCTCCGTCATCCCTGTTCGCGTGCAGTCCATCGAGTTCTCCAGCAGGGCGCAGCAGAACATTACAAAGTTCAGCAAGGTTCAAAAATTTAGGGGGTGTTCAGCAAAAAAATACTATCGCAAAATCACTGTACAAAACATTAAAACAAGACTGTTATAACAGAATTAGCTCTAATCCAGCTATCTCGATTTGTACGCAAATTCCACCAGTTTCTGGCGCCACATTGGTTGTCATAGTGATAGCTGGGTTTCTCTCTAAGATGTCGGCCCTCGCACATGGTACACAAAAGAAGAATGCCGGCGGCAAGCCCACACCAAGATATTGGCAAAGGCACGCAAAATGTTGTGGCCTTAGCTCAATTTTGAGGCCACGGGAGGCTAAGAGGGGTTAACCTGAGTTAAAATCATTAGAAATATATGAAATATAGGAGCTAATACCAACTTGACTCAAATGGCGAATGTCAAAACGTCAAGCACTTGGGGATCCAGTGATCCTTTTCATTTACTTCTCCACGGGTTAGTCGGTGCCAGACCACCGTTCCAAAAAGGTACGGTGAAGGTAAAGAGGTTCCTAACGACCTTTTCCCTTAACTTCCTTTCTTCAGCCTTTTCCTTGTCTGTAAGACGCGTTGTGCGACGTTGGAATTACTAGGTTTTATGCGGATGATGCCAAGATCTAAGCTTAAATTTCTCATTTTCGACAACTGACCTAAAAAGCTTTCACAAGTGCGTTGGACAGCCTATCTTCAAAATAACCGACGAGGCTCCAACGATATAGCATTCGTGCGCTAATTCACTTCCAATCTGCCTAGGACGGTGAAGTCTCATACACCGCGCATTTGGCCTCACTGCCTCATCTGCTCTGGTTGCTGATGTATAACACCAGTCGCTAGAATCACCAAAACAGGCAGATTCACGGTCTGCAAGTGGGAGTACGAGACCGTTAGTATGCATCGAATCACACTGTTGCCGTGCGTGTTTGGTCGACCAGAACGCCTCCAGTGCGCCACTTTTCGAAAGCAGTCACAAAAGCAGCAGGCTCGATCCAAACAAATAGAGAAGGCCTCTTAAAATAACACCGATGTTAAGTGCATTCATCCCAAACACCAACCGTCCAAGATGACGACTTTTCACTTCGCTTTGAGCATAGCCACCAAAAGCGAGAAACCAGACCAATCGATTTCGGCGACAAAACTGTTGGGCGTGGTCGGACCCAGTCAGACAGCCTTCGAGCACTGTGCTCGGCTATTAAGGACGCTAAGGTCGAATCAGTGCACGACTTATCCGTTGAACACTCACGAAATGTTCGCTCTGCAAAGCAATGACAAAACATCATTTGTATGGCTGCTTAAGATATCTGCAGCCAAAAGACCTAAGTATCGGCACCACCTGCAGCAATCGATAGTTCTAGACGTAGAAACCGGTACATCAGGCTTATCCCTTCCCACTTTTCAAGGAAACCTTACATTCGCCCAAAAGTCCTCATGATAAAATTAACCCCAAAGCAGGGTGTAGCCCTGTTATTCTGATGCAATTCCTCTGGCACTGTTCGCACTTCTACCGCCTCCTCCTGTCCTCGCTCATCTCACGTCGCCTCGAGGCATCTTGCTGGTTATACTCCTGCGCTACGCACAACAACATCCCACTTCTCGTCCAAACACCGGGTGGGATGCATTACGCACTCAGCTCGCCTGTCCGTCCAGCCTGAGAGCCTGATCCCGTTCCGATCTCTCTCGCTGCCGCCGCGCCTCCCGGCCGCAAGGCGACCGGGTGGGGTCGCTCCGCCCGCCGAGCAGAGGATGAGGGGGAGGGGAGAGGCAGGGAGCCGCCCCGCTCGGCCGACCTTCGCCGTCCGCCGCCGACCGGCCTGAGGACCTCCCGTCGTGACGTCACCAGTCGGCCGTATAAAACCGCCGCCAGCCGCCGACAAAGCATTCTCGTCTGCAGACTCATCCAGCCAGCACCATCATGAAGGTGGTAAGTCCAGGGCTGGGGCAGGCATGCGACGACGCAGGATGATGGTGGCTGAAAATGACAACGGCTGACAGCGCAGTCTGGCCAGGAATACACATGCAGCGCCGCTATGATAGACAGCATGGTCTTTCATGAGTTACACCACGTGGTTCACTCGGTGACGCCGTGCCTCCGCTGTCCGCAGATCGTTGCCCTGTGCGCCACCCTGGCTTGTGCCAGCGCCGGCTTGGTCGCCCCGGCCACCACCCTGCTCCGGGCCCCGAGCCACGACTCGGCCATCATCCAGAGCCACCGGTTCGGCGGCAACTTCGCCTACCGCACGGACGAGGCGCACGCCTACGCCTCCATCAACCCCGTCATCTCAACGGTGCGTCGCCCGGTCGGCGTCTCCTACAGCCACGGCGCGCCCATCGTCAAGTCCACCACCGTGGAGCACGCCGCCCCCGTGGCCGTGGCCAGCTACGCCGCCGCCCCCGTGACCACCTACGCCGCTGCCCCGGCCGTGGCCACCTACGCCGCTGCCCCGGCCGTGGCCACCTACGCCGCTGCCCCGGCTGTGGCCACCTACGCCGCTGCCCCGGCTGTGGCCACCTACGCCGCTGCCCCGGCTCTGACCACCTACGCCGCCGCCCCCGCTCTGAGCTACGCCGCCGCCCCCGCCGTCGCCTACTCCGGCCTGGGCTACGCCGGTCTCGGCTACGGCCTGCCCCTGAGCGTGGAGAAGATCGAGGAGGCCAAGGAGACCCCCGCCGTCGAGGTCGCCGAATAAGCTGGTCGACAGGAGCGCGCTCCCCCCTTCCCCTTCATGCTGCGCGCCGCAGTCCGTCGAGCCGCGCCACTACGGCTGGCTCGTCGGAGGCGACGCGCCGGCAACGATTTCGTCTGGTGCTGCTGAGAAAACCGCCGGATGTCAGGTGATCTGCAGAGTGAATCATGTGGGACGTCATTGTTCATACCATAGGCTGTCTGCATAGCGGCATGTGCCCGCTCGCGCATATGTCGTGAATACAATGTACTCCTTGTACGCCTGCTGTTTCTGCGATCTGAGGAGGTAGCAAACGGATGAGGCCATGGTGATGAGAGAACGTTGCCAAGAAAGAGTCAGGCGTGATGCATAGAAAAAAATTAGAAATACCTGATGCTAGTCATGAGGTGGAATGAAAAAGGAAGCAGTGTTTTCAAACTTTTGGAACTAATTAATGACGGCAGAGCCTGATAACCTCATCAGACCAAAACCACAAAGTGTGGTGATCACTTGACTAAGCAGCATACCAACTGGCACAAACAAGTGTTCGCTTCACTTCACCGCCTGTGGATCGGAGGCATCATCGCGTGCATTCATCAAGAAATGGAAACTCTTATTCTCTTTTTTTCTTTAAAATCTCTTATTTTCGCACACGTGGCAAAAGCGTTGAGAGCTTTATTGGCTATTACAAGGGACTGAACAGCTCGTGCCGACGAAAATCCAGGGACTCCCGGCTCAGAGAGGGTTGAGTCTGCGTTCATATAACGCGGTCATATTGGGCAGTGCGTTGACGGGTTAAATCAATTGGTTAAGCGCAGTGAGGTGATACATTTCTGAGTAGGGCCTCCCAGAAATGTTTGTGACATTATGGACGGCTAGCAGCTCGTACAAAAGCGATGAAACACGAACTTCTTTGAAATGCGCACTTCGCACAAGCACTTTAAGGTACAGTGGTAGCCATGTGTGCCAACGTTGATGTTTGGCAGCCAATATGAATTTTGGATGGTTACCAAACCCGTAGTTGTCCTAGTGTCACGCATCAAGCAACAAAATGAGAAACGATACGTTTTGAGAAGAATGGATGTTTTAATCATTTGGACTTTCGAACCACCCAATCAAGATCGAGGTATCTCGCATGGCGCATGTCTTACGTGCCCAGGCTTTTAGGATTCATTTAAATTCCAGTCACGGAGTTACTTTTCCGGACCTCTGTGAGGCAAACAATGAAGACGTTAGAGTTTCAAAGTTATTGAAAACAATGACCCCAGCTCTGATTCCGGCCCACATTTTAACAGGATCCCTTTTTTGGTGGAGAATTTTGGCCCACTCTACGGTTTTTCTTTGCGCCGCGCTTGCGTTGGTAGGTACCGAGTTGATGATATTTCCGACTTTTCATTGCGCGTCCAATGGTCTAGTTCCTTTTTATACATGCGCCATAGGCAGATCCAGGACTGTTTTTTAGAGTAGATATTTGTGGTCTCCTGTTAAATCGTGTTCCATACCTTCATTCGGCAAAAAGCTTTCTGTTTTAACATTGAAAATATTATATTCCGTAATTACAAAAGTTCGAGTGGCGAGGGTGATTAGGAGTTCATTTTTGGATGGTCTGTCCCTCCATATCCAACACCTGGATACGCCTTTGGAGCATAAACATGAACATGGTTTAGGTGTGCATCATGACTTAGGCGATCTATGTATCGGCTTTAGGCGTCATCGTCGAGGTATTTTCTAGGCACGACCTAGTTTTTGTACGTATCTGTTTATGAGTGTTTACGATGCTTCGTTCCTGGTCTCACCATGGCTGAATGTTGCATGTTTTGACAATCTTATGATGCCCAAACTGCCTTCCGAGTGATGTGCATGAAATTGGACTGTCAGCTTGTATGAATATTACAATGTATTCTGGGGCGAGCACAGTTTTTTACGATCGGAGTAACACCACTCAAAGTTTTTAACTGAAATCCAAGTTAAGCGCGTCGCAGGTGAGGAAAGTTTGCAGTATTGCACGAAACATCATGGTATGCTTCCGATCTACATATGTTTGCACGTTTTCCTCGATTTTGAATGCTGAAATTTAGTCGCCCATATATGTATGCATGTATAAAATTTGATATGGGAGGGAACGAGCCACTGTGTGCGTATACTGAATTACATATCACATTTCGTTTTTGTGGTATCACCTGTTCACTTCTGCCGCCTACACCAGTGGGGAAAGTCCTATTTTTGGAGTATGTGATATAGATTTCGTGACAAAAAAATGACGTGGGCATGGGCTAATTTTAACTACACCCCGAAGTCTCAAGGGGCGTCGAATCAGAGCGCTCGAAACAACATAAGCGTCAAAAAAGGATGAACGGGGGTAGGGTCAGCTGGTGCTTGGGCACGGCGCGTTGAGGTGCAAACTGCATGGTGCATGTACCCATGTTTCGCCTTTGCATGTGTTGACTAGAAATAGCTTATGTTGCATTAGCGTGCGAACTGTTTTATCTTGCAATAATATCAATAACGCATCCTAGTCACCAGAGTGTAATGAAACTTTTCCAATGCATTGGTCATGATGCCAGCTTGCAAAATGCAGCTGTGTTTAGCTATGTCATTTGAATTTATGTTGACGACTACTTAGTGCCGCTTAAGGAGTATGCGGTGATAATTTCGACGCACAGCACTTGAGGGTTTATAATTTATACTGATCAAGTGAGGCAGGCCAAGAAGTTATGTCTGCACTATGTATCCGAGAAATGGATTCTTGGATTGGATACTCAGATCCTGGATCTAGCATCTTCCAGTATCCAACGGTCATTTTTGAACTTGCTTAAAGATCTTTTGTAATCTTTGATGCGCTTCTAAATCTTGCCGAACGATCTGTCAGAACTTTGGATCAGTTCTGCAGTTTTGTATGGTTGTCTTTGGTGATCTCGGTTGTTTCCGTTAACTTTTTCAAGTGATCTTTTGGGATCAGGAATGTTTTCTTGGGATCCAGGCATATTTTAGACAATGCAAAAATATCATACTCATTTAGACAGTTGTGTAGTACGATTTAAATGCAAACTACAGCATTCATAGGACTATCGTTTTTTCAAGGTGAAACTCCGGTAAGCAGCCAATAAATAATAATATGCGGTTTTGTGTTCTACCGCGTCATAATCGCTATCACAAGTGATAAGATCATCACTCGCTATCACAAGCTGCAAGAAAGATAACGCAAACTTCTAGCGGTGGTCTGCAGTCTTGTTTTGATGCGCCAGCTTCCTTAATTGTATTATTTTTCTGTGGTAATCGATCATTTCTCGACGAATAATGGGAAGGATCAGGGTAGGAATATGAAGCTAGACCAAGGCACAATACTCGGCGCACTAGTAGTTATCCGTTCCTACAAATGCCTCGCTAGCTCTTCACCCATGGTAACCACTTAGGTGCCCAACTGCGGATAAAGAGCTATAAGGGGGTTGAAGATATCCATGGTCACGGCTGTATTTGTTACTGCGTTGAGATATCATGATACCTGTGATGTGAGGCTCTCTACCGTGCTAGTGTCCTGGTGAATGCTGGATATCATGCTGGACATCCTCTCCCTCTCTCTTTAGGTACTGAGGACATCGGCGGTTCTACGTCTGGTTTTCCTTTGTCCGTAAAAAAGACTGTCGCTTGCCAACCTTAACTGCTTCAGGTGATAACGAATGACCCCTCGTGATAATTCAGGTGATAACAAATGACCCCTCGTGATAATTGCCTCATGAATAAAAATAAAAAAACAAAATATAATATAATTTGCCTCGTGAATAAAAAAGCAGCAATCTTGGTTTGATCTCCTGTTTACATTTCGTTGGCTGCGCTGACCCACAGCTTAGAAGCTATCTTGATTGACTTCTGCGGGTATCTGCATGGGCACGGCCCAGTATACTAAGGTCTGGGTTTGGGCAGACCGTCCCTAAATCTAAGGACGGCGTCGTGCCTGTCTATCCCGAACACCTCACATATGACCCATGACCTTAAGTATTCAACAGATATGACTCCCTACTCAACAAGGGGCGCTAAAGTCAGAAAAGTCTGCCCCGTGTCGGCCAATGTCCTGCGTTCCGCTGAAGAAGCCGCCCACCCCCGAACACGGGTACCTACATTACTGCCGTCAGAAGTACAAAGCTGATAATCTATCATGCCGAGTATTACCGATACATGGCCTACCGACTATTCTTGTGCGCATCAGTCACAAAGCCTTGGCTATTGCACTAGTTTCAATGATTTTAAAAGCACGAAAGATTCGTTGGCAGCGGCATATTTAAAACCATCACAAACAAGAAGAAAAAAGCATCTACACGTAAGCAGCCAGGTGAAAACATCTTCTATAGTACATGCGTCGTATATGTAGCACATGTTTACATCATTGTGGTATATAACACATGCATCTTCTCTGAATGGTACCCCTCCAATGTGTACGAGAAGACAACAAACGATATATATCGACCAATAGAGGTGATTTTCGTAAATCGTGATCATCTTTGACCTTTGTACCTCAATTTCACCTTGAATGCCTTTTTCAAATTTCACCTTTCACCCCATGCGCGAAAAAAATGACTAGACAAATGGACTCCCTGACACAGGAAACGCCTTTGAAACGGTGTCCCACGACCTTCCAAGTCATCGAGAACAAAGAACTTTATAACTGGATCAACATTCATGTGGCGGCCGCCGCCATCTTGAATGCTGAGAAATGCTCAAAGCTGCACAGGTAGCAGCTAAGCTTATTTGGATCTGCTAGCTGAAAAGAACATACTTCAGTGAAAACGTTCGCAGTAGTCGACATTGCGGGGTCTCATAGAGGAAGTGTAGGGATGGCAACTGTGGTATTTCTTGATTTACTGAAACGTTGCGCAACTTTGGCTTCATTGTTCTTATCTATGACGACACGTCAAAGAAGGCAAAATGTGTAGGAAAAAAATGGATTATCGCCGATTTGCTTCATGAGTGTTAAAGGTTCACGGTTTGCCTCGATTCTTCAAAAGCAACGCTGTGAAATTTCGAGCCTCTGTCTAAGTTTAAGGGCATTTTCTTTCAAACGTTTTCGACAGTGACCTGGTAAACAACTCCTACATGCGAGCTGTAAGCTGTAGTCCATCACTGTATTGTCCGCTACCGTCCTTCTGAATCAATCACTACGAGACGGGAAGAGACACTGATCTGCGAACATTCTTGCCGCGCTGGACTACCCTCGCTTTTTATGCCCTCTTGTAGCGCGTGCCGCTCGCAACGCCTCCATGAACACAACTTAGTGTTTTGGCGTCGGAGACCGGCCGGCGGGCTTTGGCTCGTGCGCTTCAACATAAATTTCGAGTGGCTGAAGCTGAAGCTGAAGCGTCGCTGAGGTGAGCGGTATTTCAAGACAGCACTCTTTGAGAGCGACATCTAACTCCTCTTCGGTTTCCTAAGAGACGTGGCTGCTGTGACAACTCCCTCCCATCTCACGCGCTGAGAATTTATGTTTCTTATGTGTTGAATTAGTGTAATGCCGCCATGGCGTTTCTGGCACGTCGTCCATTTGTTTAGCCCTCGCTCTACGAGCGATGTTTTAGTATTCCTTTTATGAGGAGTCCCCAGAGGTGAAAAACCCCATGAGATCTTAACAATAAGAAGGCTAGAACAACCGGAAAACCGGCATTGGATATATTTGATCGATATTGATTCTGAATGATCTCACCTTGAAACAACAGCCGGAACAATAGATATGCACTCAGGGTGATGATAGAGCTAAGGAAACAAGCATCAAAAACTTCTTTGAAGTGCATTTCTTGCGAGA